GAGATTCCGGGTTTGATTCCTGGCCCGGAGTCTTTCTGCATGGAGTTTGCATGTTCTCCCTGAGCATGCGTGGGTTCTCTCTGGGTACTCCGGCTTCCTCCCACAGTCCAAAAACATGACTGTTATGTTAATTGGCTTCTTTAAATTCTCCTTAGGTGTGAGTGTGAATGGTTGTTTGTCTTTGTGTTGTCCTGCGATGGACTGGCGACCTGTCCAGGGTGTACCCTGCCTCTCGCCCATTGACAGCTGGAGATAGGCACCAGCACCCCTCGCGACCCCACTTGGGATTAAGCGTGTTAGAAAATGGATGGATGCATGTTTTCTTTGATCTAAACCTGTCCATTCTAGTTATTATAAACACCTGTCACAGTTTTGAGATTTTGATTTCTTAAACAGAGGTTCTTCCAGGTTTATTCTCTTTTTAGATCCATTAATCTTATAAACTATTACCAGTTTAAAAGAACAAGTAACATTGGTGACAAATACATTTAGCCTTAGTCTTTCTCTGCACATTGCATTTTACATGTAAGCTACCACAGTGTATTTGGGTGTCATCAAGTGGGTGCTGTGCCCCCTTTATGAAATGTGGTAAACTGCAAAAAGATCTCTTCATGGGTTTTCTTCAACTATAATCTTTCTTCTTACCCTTCTTCTATGAACACCTGTTTAATAGATGGCACAAGTGTCCTCAGGTGTGGATTGTTGCATCTCCTAAGTTGATCCTTGTTTCTACACTGAATAATGCTGTCAGTGTCTGAGCTTTCATTTTAGGTGGTCATTGCAGGTGTATAGTTTAACAGAGCTCTTTTTATTTACAAGTGATGGGTTTAACAGATATCTCTAAGAATCTCAAAGCTATGGGTGTTGCTTTATTACCAAACCTTGCTTCAATATTCTCCACAACTCTCTGACTGACCTACAGTATCTGATGGCATTTAAGGTCATCATGATGCACAACAAACCTATGAGGCTTCAGAAAGGTTACATTTAAATTCAGGTAACACCACAATTTAGGTAAGCTCTGTTCAAGTACAAAGTCCTGAACACTGATATTAAAGAGAAACCTAACACACACATATAGAGTAAAAGAATAAGCAATGTTAAATGTCTAAAGATTTTTCAAAAAGCCTGAGCCGCTTGTTCCAAATACTTTGGACCTACAGCAGCAAAAGCTCTGTGTCCTCCGGACGCAAATTCATTGTTCTGGAATGTCAAAGAGCATAAGAGCCACTGATCTGAGTGAGCGAGATGAGACGTACATCTGAAGAAAACCTCACAGAGAAGATTAGTAAAGTCTGACTATTAATGCTTGCTCAATTATGAAGCAGTAAAGAAAAGAAAACTACTAACTTTCCTTTAACTTACAGGTAGACCTGTACTACTTTGTGTTGGTCTATCAAATAAAATTCCAATAAAATACACAGAGTTTGATGGTTTTGAGGGTTTGATTATGTTGCAACACATCAGAATGTAAAGAAGGCAGTTAAAAGATCTAATGGTTCAGTCTCCCTCTGAAACAAACCTTAACCTTAAACACAAAGCACTTTACAAATGCCCTGTTAAAGATGAGGAGTTTATCATGTTGTTCACCACTAGTGATGACGTCCTTTTAATCGAATATAATGTTGTTACAATAAGAACACTGCCTTTGCTACAGTATATGCAGAAATAAATCTTATTTAATGTGATCCATTTATTTCCATTTCATTTTTCCTCAGCTAATTGATTGCATTCATGTCACATGATGAACAGAGGATAAAAGTAGGTAGGTAATGGCTTTGCTCAAATCGGCAGTTTTAAACCAAAGCATGGTGACCCCAGTCCATATTAGAGTTACATATTTACTATGTTGACACATCAGACATGTCTGCTGATTAACTGTGGGAACCTCCTGCTTTTTATTGACATTGTTTAACTTTATTGAACTATTGGCTACTAATTGCTGCTAAGTGAGAGCTTCTACTGATTAGTATGGTTCACTCATTCACACAAGGGATTGAGGAAGAGGCTTATAAAAAGTAAAAATAGGGGTGTTTGTAGGAGGGCGGGTGAGTGGGTGGTAAGTGGAAAGTTTTGTTACAATGCACGAATCAGAATACAACTGCCAGCTCAGTTGTAATGTAAACTAATCAGCAGTCATTAATACTGCTTTGGTGGCTGCTACGTCTTTTGTCAGTTTGGTTTAAGCTTTCTTAAAACATTACAAGGGGGAAAAAAAACCTGATGCTTATTACCAAGTAACTACATTAATTACTCGACTGTTGTCTTAATTGACCCTGACTCTTATTAGAAAGATGTAAACAATCACATTTGGACAAGAAAAAATATAAATACTATATAAACTAGGCTAGTGAGGCAGGCGTCCCGGGAAAGCTGTATCTCCCTAGTGAATATTTTCATAGGAATATATATTTTTAAATGAGCACCTTTTAAAGGAACAGGAAGACATATTTTTCATTGGGTGGGCTGTTGAGCAAACATCTTCTCTGACAGCACTGAAATGAATAGTAAGTTTTTTTTAAAGAATCATGTAAACCAAGAAAGACTTAAATAAATAAATAGCTCCATCATTTACTTTTATGTTAGAAAGCTGTTTACTGTGTTCCAGTTGTTCAGCCATCAATGCACTTGGGCTAATATGGCAGTTGATGTGTTTTATCACATATCATCTGAGCTTAGATCAAAGCAAAATCTTTCTTGGTTTAAGCAAAAGCAGCACAAGTATCATACAGATCAAAACCAATGTTTTATTTCCAAAACCAAGTATCTGGCTATCTGATAGCTACAGTCTGTTGAATCCAGGTCAAGCTTTTGACTGTTTACCTGAATAAACAATAAGGAGCTTGGTCGACCTACAACTAGAGCAGAACTCTCCTCCACGGCTCCTGATAGGAGAGCCCATATCTCTCCCTTCCTGAAGTCCCCTCATTGGCTTCCTGTTGCTTCCAGGACAGATTTTAAAATCCTAGTCCTTAGATTTAGGGCCTTTCATGGAGAGGTGAATGAGGTCTTCAGGTTAAAATCTGCTCATGGTTCCTTGAGACTGTCTCAGAACCTGAGGAGGCAGGTATTTTAAAGCGGTGGCATTTCATCTCTGGAACAACCTCCCCTTTTTATTTTATTTTTTTCCCTACTTGCTTTGATTCTGTTTTATTTTCCTATATTTTAATCATGTAAAGCACTTTGCATTGTCTTTGTACTGAATTGTGCTATACAAATAAATTTGCCTTGCCTTTGCCTTGCCTTGCCTTTCCTTTGCGCTTTCTGGATTCTGTTCACACGTTTAAAAAGCAGCTAAAAACTAGACTGTTTGCACAGGCAGATTGCAAACCTTCTTATTCATTTATTTGTTTAGTTTTTGCTTGTGTTTTATTTGTTTTTTCTTGCTGTTTTTACTTGTATTTTTATGTGTTATGTTGCGAGGAACTTTGTGACCCGTCTTTGAAAAGTACTATACAAATACAAATTTACTTACTACTTAAAGTCTGAGGGCAGATAGCATGTGCCTAATTAACCTGTGTGTTAGATTTCTTTTGGTTTAACCATCAACAAAAAAGGTAATTTAATGATTGGGAAACAACAATCCCAAAGACACATACACTTATATGGCCATATGTTTATTTAGTGTTAGTACCTTTCATGCAGATCTTGAATTAAATACAGGTGAGCTGTTCCTGTCTTAAAACCATTACCCTTTCAGCAGCTACACTTTACGCTGCAGATGAAAAAAGAACGAAGGTAGGCATTTTCTTTGTGAATTTCATAACACCATCTTTACTATTTCAGATTTGGTCTCAATACTATATGAGCTTTTCTTCCACATTAGCCTTTCTAAAAAATGGCTTGTGTCCAATGTTTATGGGATTGTTATGACTTGTTTTTTCAAACTGTCTGTCTTTTAGCAAGTCTCTCATATGGCCAACATTAGATTAGTAGAACGGCCATTTAAAGGACTCATAAATTGGTTGCTTACTCATTCGGTCCTTCTGAAATTGTCTTTAAATTCATGTTTAATCATTTTAAGAGAAAGAAATTCAGGCCAGTGTTGATGCCCCCCCCTTTTTCCTCTAAGGATATGCATGAGAATTTGACTTGTGTGTATGCACGTTCATGTGAATGCATCGTTAGCAGCATCAGCAATTTTTCATGTTTTATTTATCATAATTCCCTTGTCTTTTACACAATAATTTTACAAAAGTTACTGCAACACTTAACAACTGCCTGCTGGTGAGTACCTGATTGGTGAAAATAGAGACAGACATCATATGACTGATGTAAATCAAGAAGGAGAACCAAAACCAGGTTCTTGTGGGCCTCTCTGGTTCGAAGTAAGGATCCATATAAAAAACAAAAACAAAAAAAACCATTAATTTCTACATTCTGGAATGACTGGTAGGTTTTAACTGGGGCTAACACACAGTTTAAAAAGAAAAGGTCTGATTTTCAGGCGCTTAACCCCTTTAATAGTTGTCCTGTCAACAAGTTTTGCCACTTGAGCCACTGATCTCTGCAGTTACCCCAGAGTTACTCTGGTTCTCTTGGTTGCTTCTCTGAGTAATGCTCTCCTTGCAGTATAAATGGGCCAACATGTTATGCAGTTATGTTCTATATATATTTTTCGTTTTATGATCGACCAATGGTTCTCTGTGAGACGTTCAAGGCTTTAAATACTTTTTTTCAACAAAACCCTAACTGTCTTTTCTAATTTGATGATTACTGAAGTGAGTTGTCTGCAATAGATTACATGCATCATGTTTTGAATCAACTAAAAGCTAATGAAAGATGTAAAATTTTTGTAAATATCTTCCAAAGCATGTATCTTTTTATCTGTACTTTTCACACAAGTTTAAATTATTCCATGGCTTAATACTTTTGCTAGCTAGCATATATTCCTTAACATAAAATCCATAAAAATTAGTCCATAAAGTTAATATGCACAAATAAACTCAAGATCAGATAAAATAATCCACACAGCTCTGCAAGTTTTATAAAAGCTTCGGTTTTTAATCAAACATCTATTTACAAACTTTTTTTGCCACCATTTGTAGAAATATGCAGTAAATTTTTTCAAATGAAAATCAAAAGCTACAGAACCTCAGTCTTTAGGTAGTTCTTTGTCCTGGGTCTCAGCTCTGGACTGACTGGGGCACTCAGCCTTCGCAGATCGTAGTCCCCCATGCACACAGCCACAAAGAACAGCGTTCCTCCGATGACCTGACCCAGACCTCCAAACCATCCAGAGAACATTGCCTCGCCATGCTCCCACCGAGGCATCACATCAGGAAAACCTTCATCCCAGAACTCCACCACAGTTGTGTATGCCAAAATAGACACAGGAGCCAGAATGGTTAGTCCCGACACCCAGGTCATTACCCCGCTGAAGATCAGGAGCCCTCTCTTTACATCTGGCTTCCTTACACACATCTCAACCCCCTCAAGACCCAGAAAGGCGGTGACCAGAGCAAAACCTCCAGTTCCAATGGATATAAACACAAGGACCCTGGAGATCTGCAGATCCATTGGTAGACCCAGGACAGAATCGTAGGCCTTGCACTGAATCCCTCTCTCCTCTGTGTAGAGGCAGGTGAGCCAAAGCCCTGAAAACCAGTTCTCCACCTCATTGAGATCCGAGTTCATTGTTTTCCAAAGGGGTAAAAATGCAGTGACCAGGGAGGTGACGTAGCTCCCAAAAGATAAAAACATTGCAGTTCTCTGCATCATTTTCGTTGTTAAAAAAGCCATCTTCTTTTTTTGCAAGAAAAACCTTGTGTGCTGTGATTCCTGTGTCCAAGTTCATGTAACTGGATAAGGGACCAAGAAAGACTCTGTATCCCGTCCAAACGAATGGGAAGGCCCACTGCTTCAGTCTCCAAAAAAAAAAAAAAAAAGTACCCGATATAAGAGGAAGATAATCCAGGACTGAGGCTCCACAATAGAGCTACTGTTCTGTTTCAGCGTTCAATGTCATCACAGTGATTAATGAACTCTGTTTTTAAATAAAACCAGGTATGTTGAGTGAAATACCAAGCCCAAAGTGCATGCCTGCAGAATTTAGCTTTAATGAATGAAACTGGATCACTAGATACACACACTGAAATACAAAAATAAGTTTTCTTTGCTATTCATGCCACTGGATGTTCAAGTATGCAGTACTTTTAAAAAGTATAAAATTAATATCTTTTTCAATAAAATGTTGAGGTAACAAATGTAATAATGCTGCTGTTTTGAAACATACATTTACATTCTAAAGAAACCAAAATGGGGACATTTTATTTGCCAAGTGTCTCAAGTGTCTGGATTGTGAAAAGCACTTTGTGTTCACTCCACTAGACCATTCAAAGCTTTGAAGGCTCAAGTTCTTTTTGAATTTAACTCTCAGTGTGATTGTTAAAATGTCAGTGAACTTTGTTTGCTGATTTGATTAGTTCTCCCATTTTATCACATGCTTTATACAATTCCAAATTCTATTTTACTCCTAAAATGTATCTATTTATTTAAATTATTAGTTAGTTTTGTCGCATTTAGGTCATGGATACTGTATCCTTAGCAATAATGGCCTGAGCAAGAAAGTAGCAACAACTTTCAATGATGACACATTATTAAATGACATGCAGTAAAATGTATACTTTCATGATATATATCTACAGATTTTATTTTTTACCTGGGATTTAAATTCCTTATGAGGTTGTAGGAAGCCAGGATCCCCTCATATGCACAAGAACATGCAAAAGGCCACCAGGCTGGAAACTGAACTCTGTACATTCTTGCTCAAAGACCACGGTTGCACAAACTTCACCACTGTCCACCATCTGCAAATTCTTAAACTAATTAAAGTTGTCATTTGGATACATTTATTCCACGTAAATTAAATAGCTTTTTATCGCACTGATGCACAATTTTAGCTTAAGACAATTTTTGAAAGAGATCAGATTTAGATAAATAGATGGCAAAATGCACTAAAACTAAAATACACTACGGCTGCGTTTGCCCTAACTCTCAGAAACTAAACTTTGGGCTGTCACCATCTGCCTGTAAGCCACGGTTTAATAAAAGACATGCTTTGATTTATTAAAATATGTTATTTTTTCAGTGACATTTTAATTTAGTGAGGTGCACTCATCTAAAGTGCTATAAAAAGGTATTTCCCCTTTTGAAGTTATGTCCTGTTATTGTGTTGTTTGCAACATTATGCATCCCTCTGGAAACATTTTTATTATTCTGCAGCATTGCTTTAACACAGCCACACTGGATTTCTTTTCTTTTGTTTTGACATTAATGGACTATTTAATATTATTCCACAACATCCCTTTTCTAAAAAGTCCGTTTTCTAGGTTTATTTACACCATAAAAGAAAAACTGAGTAAGACCATTTGAAAATAACATTTCGACCATACCTGTATACTGTTAAAAACAAGAGTAGTTTAGCTATCCAAGCTAAGGTGACATTAGATCAAAAAATATTTAAAAAAAAAACAAATTGAAATGGATTTGAAAGAGAACCATTTGTGTCTAATAAATGTCCAAAACGCATTCTGAGAAGATTGATTTATTATGCGTTTCTTTAAGGCTTTAAATACAGGACTCTGATTGACATACGTTTGGTGATGCTGAAATAAAGGTCACTATTACACAGTTCAGGGTAACATGACTGTCGAGGCTTTTTGGTTAGTATTGTTAACATCATCATTACACATAATTAAAACAAACTGTACACATTTGAAACACTTTTATGTAATGACTAATTCCTTCCATCACATGCTGCCAGATTTGTCACAGCAGAAAATAAACCAAAGTGAAGAACAGAAACGGGCCTAAATTAATCATTTGATGGCGTTTAAATTGCATTTTTGTTGACTTAATGATGCTTCAACATATTTTAAACATACTGCAACAAGCATGATCAGTAAAATTCATATGGGTTAAAAAAAAAAAGATAAATACTGAGCAGAGAACAGGCTTCCAAGTGGTTGTATATATAAAATAACTGATAAAGTACATATTTTATTTAACAGTATAAACATTTCTAAGCCACATTCTGGTTTCTTTGATTTTACACAGTGAGAGAAAATATGTAGTGTAGATAAAAAGCCATTTATCATACACACGTCTTAGACATGCAGGGTAAAGAAAAATCCTAAAGCATAAATAAAATAAAATAAATGTTGGTGGAGCAGTAATGAATAGAAATATATAGGTAGGACATGTATGGCTTTTTTAGAAGAAAATGTCTCTTCTTTGATTCACCCTAAATATCAGAGCCCATTTCAGCACACTGTTTGTCTGATATGTGCGTAGCTAGAGACTCAATGATGTCCAACAACAGCAGCTGGCTGAGAGACCGCAGATTGGGGAGCTTGGATACCTTTGGGAGGGGAGAACAAAGCAAAATGAAAAAATGTCAGAAATTAAGACAGTGAGAGACAAAAAAAACGGGTGATAGGAAGCTGTTAATTGCTCATGCATAAAAAAAATGACGTTAGGTGCAAAAAGAAGCTGAAAAGACACAAAAAAATAGAGCTAACACTCCAGTGAGAGAAAGTGAAAATTGAGTGTTTTGCTTTTTTCATTGCATAACAAACAATAATCAGAGTGCCACTGTGACGCCCCGCAGCTCTTTGATGAGGTGCTTACACAGCCGGCCAAGCTATAAACAGTCTCCTCTCTACTCAGAAAACGGAGCCTATTGCGCTAAGAGGTCAAAAGTGTCAGTTTCCCACAAAGATGATGAGACTAGAGGGTTAGCTCAGCTGCACTGAGTGGGCAGCATACCCCCAAGGCTCCGGATACAAGCCCACCCACCTTGATGAACTGGTGGACGATAATGTGGAGGCAGTGTTTCTTCATGTCTAAAGCCTGAGTCTTATCTGCTGCCTCCAGGATCTGGGAGAAATGAGAGGAGAAATTCTTCAGTTAGAGAGAAGAGAATGTTTTTTCCCAATTAGGTCACAGATCCCCCCAGGGTGAAAAATATAAACACCTGCAGGACGTTCTCCACAGTCACATTCATCTCCAGATTCTGCTTACAGTAAGCCTGGAGCCTGTTATTGGAAAAGCCGTAGTAGTACGGAGCAGCAAACAGATAGCTGGTTATCAAGGTCAAGGAAAAATGCTCTACATGTGAAACAGATCTGATGTTCAAAAAGAACGAGTTCAATCAATAAGAGACAAGTCAAACAGTCAAATTAAAAATATAGTTAGAAAATTACTTTTTAAAGTCAAAAATGTGCTGCATAACTTTTCTTTTCTACTTCGAATAACCTCATGTGTGAAAATGTGGGGAAACACAAAGACGTAATCCATGACAAAAATAGTAAAGACACCCACCAAAATTATGGATAATTATTTGGTCAGAAGACATTAAACTTTGGTAGATTTAATTAATTAAACAAAGAAATATAGAACAACTGCAAATATGGTTTGAAAAAAATAAAAATAAAAAGCTTAAATTATAATAAAAGCCATTTCTTCAATGATAAGTATTTTTAAAAGGGTAAATTAAAAAAACAAATCTATCCAATGTGCAGCTGTTTTGTTAAAATCACCAGTTTTTTCGATAGAAATCCAGCTAATAACTTTAATTTTCACTCTTTTTCCAACAGAGTGTCGTTAATGCATTTGTATTCTGATTTTCTTCTTTACACTAATCTCAGTCATTATTACCTTTGGATCTTATTCACCATCAAAAACATTTATCTCCTGCTAAACATTAGAAAAAAGGGACATGTTTCAACACTACCTGGCAGCTGTGATAAAGCATTTGTTTTCAATACCTACAAACTGGATGGGTTAAATGTGTTTTGTTTAAGGGTTTTCTGCAGGTAAGAGATTGTTAAATTGATAAAAATATGTTTAAATTTCTCAAAGAGGGTAAACTTAGCATGATCAGCAGGAACTTGCAGCTGATGTTAGTCTTCAATGGGACACCATGTTCCGTAATTTGACAAGGATACAGAGAATCTTCTGGAGGCATGTTGACGTCACCATAGTAGATGTAGCGAAGCATCGATTCGAAAGCCTGCTTGCTTGGGACCATTTCACCAATGGATATATTCACCTGACCATCTTCTGGCATGAAAGAGCGGAACATCGCCTCAAAGTAACTGGAATATCAAAATAAAAGCTCAGTCAGATTCATCATTAAGACAAATGTACTTTTATCAAAATCCACAAAGCTTAGCAAAATGATGAATAACCTTTAAACTTTATTACATTTATAGGATGAATTAGAGTATTTTACTGGGATTAAAGTTGTTCTAGCAACACTAAGCAGCACAAAGTTACTGTATATAATGGGGCAAAAACAATACATTTTTTTCTATAATTATTATTTAAACCCTAAATAAAGTTTGATGTTAAAAAAAAAAAAAAAAAAAAAAAACTGCTTTCAAAAATGATGTAAACATATTCCACTCATAAATACACCATTCCCACTGTGAAACATGGTGATGAAAGCATAATTAAGAACACAGGGCCAGAGCCTTAATGAATAACAACAGAACTGAACTGAACAACTAAGTTTGACAAATGAATAGTAAATAAAACGTTTATGAAACTGAGCAAATTAATTCAGATATTGTTACTCGACCATCCTTCAACAGAATGATGATTCAAAAAAAAAAAAAAAAAAAAAAAACAACTCATGAAAAAGGCCTGGACAAAATCAGGATTTCCCTAGAAAAGACCAAAAATAATGTGACCAAAGGGACATGTTAGATCAAATGTGTCCACTAATTAGTATCCCATCATGTCTGCTACCTTGTACCGGTAATTAGTCAGAGGGCCCATGTGTATATAGACCTGTCTGGTGACATGGTGTGTACCATAC